CAAGATTAGTATCTGTAAAGTCGTTATACAGAGTGTCGTACACATACACTGTCCCGCTATTTAACGGCTTGAAGGGTACAGCACTGGGCTTTGTGACATGACCATTCTCCTAGTACTGCAGAGCTACGAAGTCGCCCGGCGCCGCCTTTACTGGGCCGAACTGGTCGGGATAGGAAAGCGTGCGTTGCCGCGGATTTGCGATCTTATCGTCAAGGTGTATCACTTTGCCATCAGCACGTCCTTGGGCGGCAGGAGCCAGACAATTTCGTCTTCTGCGATTGTCCCTTATACCATGTGGGCGCGCTCGTAGCCAGGTGCTCCGACCATTGTGCCATTAGAGGCGATGCGCATCGTACGTTCAACCCAGCTGTAGGCTAGAGATAAAGGAACAAATCCGCTGACAAGGAGCCATGTCTTCATCTTCTTAGAGTGCGATATAGAGCCCTATGTATCAAGTCTTAGCATACTTTCTTGGTAGATTCCAGAGCTATGTCGGCCATAGGCATTAAGGAAGCATACTGGTAGGTGAATTCAATATTCCACTAAACTGTGTTATATGTTATATACTTGCAGTACTGGTGCGGTAGACTGGTTCCTCGGCATTCGTCTCTTTTGCGCCAGGCTCCAAGGGGGCTTCTTATACTCCTTGCGTGGCACCAAAACCCCGGCGGATGGGGGATCCGGAAACTAAGGAGCACATGACTCCGAATTCCGGGATGCCGGCATGTAGAGTACGCCGGAGACCGAATGTTGCCGGGCCGAATAACCCGGCCGTCGGCACCGCGAATCGAACCTTTTGCCTTAGGCCAAGCCAGCTAAGCCCAACTTCCCGGTTCTTCCAAAAGCAGGGTTTTAGAGCACGTAGATGACACACGGAAGAGGGGTTTGTATTAGATGTTATTGTAGGCTAAGTATAAAGAATGTCCTGAAAGCCAACTCCTTAGGCTTTTTTCGTCTTGCGAGAAAAATAAGCCTTGTCGAACTCTCTGACCTTTTTTGGCACGTCTAGGATTAGTGAAGTCCTTGGTTCCCATGTATCATCCCACCTTTCATGCTCTTCGCCGTGATTCTCCCAACAGACTAGATATTCTATGGTTGGACGGCCTCTCCCACCCTTCCGCCTCGTGCGGCGATCCAGGATACGCTCAACGTTCCAGAACTCCTCACCGTTCACGACATAAGCTGGTCCTTGTGGTGCTTCGTCCAGTCCGGACATTGCTGTGTCAAAAACAGTGGTGTTTCCTGCAAGACTTGCCTCTCTAGAGTTGTTGCTAACGACCTGCCAGTCGTCTAGTGACTCCTTATGGATTGCTTGGTCAATGCCCTGCATTATAGAATCAATAACCTGTGCTGGGGATTCTGGAGATGCTGGGCCAAGGAGTATATCCTGTCCTAAAGGCGATTGTGACAGGATCGCTATATCTTCCCATTCTGAGAATTCTGTAGGCTCTGGTGATACCGAACCGCCGGAGCCGAGAAGAGGATCAATAAGAATATCGGAGGATTGGAGTAACCAACCAGTGTCCGGTTCTGTAAGTTGGGGCAAGGTATCACCAAGGGGAAGGAGCTCCGAAACGATTGGGTCCTCGTCGAACATACTAAGAGAGCTTGTCATTGTATCGAGAGAAGCATCCTCCATGCATATATCGACTGGCGTACAAATAGGCGAGATCGAAGGGTCTTTTCCGAGTTCCAGGACTGAGTAGCCTTGCGATGGGATGCGGGACTCGCCCGGGGCGAAAAGGGGGTCGAAAAGCTCTAGGTCCTCCGGTCTATCATAGGGGAGGGCCAAGGAGCCGAGACTGACATGTCCTGAATAATCCTCTAGACGGACACTGGACGTATTTGTTGTGACCACTGGCCTCATATCGTGGCCGTGATTAGACTTGGCGTGATTTTTGAATTGCAACTCATTTTTCAGCACTATCCCGGCGCGCTTGCAGTCCGGATCGGGACAGGGGACGACTTCGGCGGGGCGTCGCTGGAGATGTCGCTCTTCATAGTTCCACATATTCCCTTTCCGGGTGAAGCACCTTCCACAGAAGAAACACTTATGGGATTTAGGCGTTGGCCATTGTGCAACTAAGTGCTCAGCTGTCCCCATTGCACCTGGTACGGCCGCGCCGGAGACCCGGGCCATGTCAACTTCGCTGTAAGGCGGCGGTGGGTCTTGAACCATCACTGTGTCCGAAGGCATCGGCAGCGTGGTGTCGACTGGAGTTTGTATCATCGATACGTACCGTGGCTTCGGTGGGACGGTTCGGCCACGCGTTGTGAGCTGGAGCATGGCTTGGGGTGCCTCGACTTGTGTTGGAATTTCCGTCAACGGCATCCTTCGTACTCCTGGCTTCTGCGAGGTGGCGAGCTCCTTCGGTTCAATCTTCCAGGCATAATCGACCCAGGCGTTGATCGCATCTATCTTTCTTTGCACGATCTCGATTTCCGGGAGGTCTTCATCTAGGTCGCTGAGGATCTCCGCGACATGTCTCCGTTCTGGCAGGCTAAAGATAACCTTCTCCAGTAGCTTCTAGGGTTCATAGATGCCACACAACTGCCTATCGAGCTCTATTCTGTTTCTCTTCCTGAAGTGATCCTTTCGAAGGAAAGTCCCTACCTTTCGGCGCCACCGCTGCCTCGCTGCTCTCAGTTCATTCGCTTTCTGCTTGCGCATCCTCCCGTCGTCACCGGTGGCCTTTGTGGAGTCTCCATACTTCTCTTTCAGAGCGTCTTCCAGAGCTTCCCATTCTCTTTCCAGCCGGCGAATCGTGCTGTCGGGACCGATGATCCGCATTTGTTCGTCAGACACGCCCATCGGCGCATTTTCGTCGAATATGATGCCAAGGTAGTTAAGGATGTCTAGGTAAGGAGACTCGGTGCCACGGCCTAAGCCGGCATCCTGAGCCATGGCATTCCTCATGTTGTTGGCGTAATGCCTCTGATACACAGTGCTGTTGGGCCGGTGGCGCGCTCCCTGATCCCGAATCGATTGTCGGTAGTTCTCTGTTGAATGTTAAAAACTGTCAAGACAAAGCTGGAGAGGGTCGACTTACTATCAAGGATTTCCAGGTTTCCTCGCCGGAAAACATAGGTTGGGACTCGATCGGGGAGGCCTGCTGCTTTTCCATGGCTTTCCAAGTAGTCATCGAAAGCTTTTGCTGTTAAAGGCTCATCCGACTTTATCAGACCTTCGACAGACTCTACGGTCTTCCGGAATACCGGCTTGTGCCAAAATTCTTTCTTCCATAGTATGTATACAGCGGGCACACTTAGTTTGGTGTTGAAAAATGGCTCGGTGCATGTGTCGTAACCGTCCAGGTCAATAACTCGCTCGGCTCTCGCCTTGGCGAGGAGCTTCGAGATTGGGCAAAGCACCGGGAGTTTCTCTTCAACAAAAGGGAACCAGGTGGGCACTATCTCATTGTTTTCGCCTTTGTGGAAACGTAGGAGTACCTGCATCGCGAGGTAGTCTCGGCCGCCGTTGCGCATCGGGTCATTCAGGATCCACAGATCGATGTCCTCCCAGCAAAGAACCTTATACTGTGCGTCTGTCCTCTCATCCAAACAGCCGCACACCCAGCATTCCTTTGGACGGGGTTGGACGTAAGGATCCGACGTTTCAACATCTGTGTAGGCATCGGATTCTTCGTCGTGTTCCTTGATCTTTTTCTTCTTATTGCGCGGCTGGGCAAACACCAATTCGTGCCGCCGACAGCCTATCCACATAAGGATATCCTCAATCATTGAAAAGTCGATCCGGTCGAAACCAATTTTGAATTTTATTTTCCAATCTCGAACCTAGAGAAAGTACGCAAGATATGTGAAGCCAGATGGGTCTAGGACGTTCTTGTGTTTCGGCTCTCGGCGCAGCCCAAATAGGCGTACATATTCGGTTTTTGCGACGGCCACGAAGTGGTCTCGAAGCCGCCATTCGAGAGTCTCGCCCGTATACTTCCGGTAAATCTGTGACAGCTGTCGCAAGTACTGGCGGATTGTACCCAATGCACCGATTCTGGAGTTCTCCCTTCGTATCAAAAACTGGGCAAATGCTTTGGCAAGACCCTTGTTCTCCCAACTCAGCGTCTTGACGAGGGCTTTCCAGTCCGGATTTCCTGGTAACGCTTCGGAGAATGCCTTCCATCTTTGTGTACCGTCAACAATGTTTGCCTTGGTATTATCAGCACGGTTTGGCGGAAGAGGGCGCCGTGTGTTTCCCCGGTCCCAGATCCACTGCAGTTCCTCAGATGTAAGTGCTGGTGGGGCTTCGGGCACGTCCAACTCTGTAAGCTGGCAACGGATTCGTTCGAGCTGATCAAGGTCCAAAGCCTCAATTGGCTGATAGGACTGACCAGTCTGAACGTAAGAAATAAAGCAGAGGGACCGGTCTAAATATGTTTTCCCCTCTTGCGTTACTGCGTCCTGTTCTCTGGCCGCTGGCCACCTGAGTCCCGAGTCCCGGATCCCAGGCTCCCCATCAGCATTGCTTGGAGCTGCGCCGCCCACTGTGACGTGCACGCTGAATGTACTGTGTGGTGTACAGTGGATTCGAGAAGTACATATGTCCCGCCAAAAATGTACTTGACGGGGGGGTGTTTTGGGGTTCCAAAAACGGTGGGTCTGGGCTTCCATTTTCGGAAGGCTCAACATCGACACGGGTACTAACTTAACAGTGTAATGCTGGACCGACTTACTCCAGACCCCGAAGCCAATGGTCCGAAGTGCGTTGGGGTAGCGCTTGGCGCACACGACTCCCACACTCCACTTTACCCCATGTGGAGTGAACGCGGAGTAATTATCCACTGCCTCGAATGCAGCAGAAGGGCAAGTGAAAAGAAGTCACATCAGAGGAGGGTGATGGGTATGTATAAGTATGCCGCTCTCCTTCTGAACTGATCACCTCTGATAATCCAAAGCCCATGCTCTTCGTTGTAAGCTAGGTGCCTATATCTTTTCTGCTCTCCGTCTTATCCTCTCGGTGAGAGAGCACACGGCGCAGAACAAGCATGGAAAATACTCGGCACAAGACCGACGAGGAGCTTGCCTCGCATGCGGTCCCTGTGGAGCTCGTCGATGACGAGGCTCTCGCCGGCAGTACCGCAACGCGGGGCGCTGTTGTCACCAGCGCAGCAGCCAAGCCTCAGAGGAGCCTCAAGTATGCCTGGTTGTACATCTTCGACTGGTACCCGAGCTACTATACTGAGGAGGAAAGAGCTCTGCTGAAGAAACAGGATCGCATTATTCTTCCTCTTATGTGAGTCCCGTCCTTTTTCTTTTCTTTATAAGAGATTGCTGCCTGAGAAGATACACCATGCTGACAATGGATGCAGTTGCTTACTCTGTAAGTTGTGAACAAACTAAAATCGACCAGACGCGAATCCATGATGTAACTCTAACAATCTTGTATATCTTTAGTCTTCATCAAGTGGCTCGACCAGTCCAATATCACCAATGCCTATAACTCCGGCATGAAGGAGGACCTGAACATCAAGGGAATAGAGTATAACCTGTTTAGCACCTTCTATAATATTGGCTACCTAATTCTGGAGATTCCCTCTATGATGATTATTTCGCGCCCCAAGTTGTCTCGCTGGTATCTTCCAATCTGTGAGACGCTCTGGTCTATCATCACCTTCATCCAATCTCGCAATCGCAGCGCTCATATGATTTGGGGCATGCGCTTCCTAATGGGACTTTTCGAGACCCCCGCTGCAACCGGGTCTCTCTATGTCCTTGCATCTTGGTATAGATCTGAAGAGGTTTTCAAGCGTGCTGGTGTTTGGTATGTATCGAGCAATATTGGCGCCGCTTTCGGTGGCTACATGCAGGCCGCTGCTTACGCTGGACTTGATGGGAAGCTTGGTATGGCAGGCTGGTACGTTTCGCTCCCCGCAAATCAGTTGTCATGGCGTGCGACTAACATCATTTGTTCTCTGCAGGCGGTGGGTGTTCATCGTGGATGGTATCATCAGTCTCCCGATCGCTATTGCCGGCTTCTTCCTATTCCCAGGCCTGCCGACGAGCCCGCGCATCTGGTGGCTTAAGGAGTCAGAGCAAAAGCTCGCCCAGGCACGTATGCAGACAGACGGCGTCCGTAAGAGTGCCAAGATTGGAAAGCGAATGCTCAAACGCGTGTTTCTTCACTGGCATTTCTATTTCGCCGTCACTACCTATGTCGCGTAAGTGACAATTGCCGGCGATGTTCTCAGTTTTGTGTGACTTATCACTAATGCAATAATGGCTGAGCAGATTTCAGTTGACCACCTGGGTCGGTGGACAGATGGGAATCTGGGTCAAGGCAACCGGTAACTATTCAGTCGAGCTCATCAATATCCTGCCTACTGGAACTCAGCTTATGGCCATTGTGGTTGGAATCACGATTCCACAATTTGTCATGTGATTATATTGCCCATGACTCCATCATACTGGACAGAGAGCGCTAATGATCAACCTTACAGGGTTTATCCGATCTGGATGCCGGTCAGTTTTGTTGGATTTGTACTGCTCTTCAGTAATATCTGCCTCAGAATCTGGTACATCCCAGACGCAATGAAGTTCGCCGTCTGGTTCTTGATGGGCTTCACATCTTGTGTGACGCCTATGCTCTTCCCTTTCGTTCATCTGATCATGAAGGACGACAACGAAGCAAAGAGTTTCACAACGGGTGCCATGGTAAGTTGATGGCTTTTGATTGATCCTGCCTCGCTGATCAAATGGATGAAACTTTAAGACTAATCCTATTTGCTTCAACCTCAGATGACTGTCGGATGGGCATTCTTCACTTGGTATAACGTTGTCGCATTTCCAATCACCGAGGGTCCTCAGTGGACAAGGGGCTTTACTGCCAGCATATGCCTAACAGTTATATGGGTGGCATTGTTCCTGACGGGTTACGTGTTGTGGCAACGTGACATCAAGCGTGGCTTATACCAAAGTGCTATTGCTGAGGAAGAGAACGAGGAGGCTTTTAATGAAAAGGTTGCACATGTGTCCCAGACACAGGCTGAGGCGATTCACATTGACGAGAAGAGGCTGTAGGACAGGGCTCGGTAGATAATGTGAAGAGGTTTCCAAGTGATCGATGTAGTATTTCCCCTTGAACTCGATATATTCACAATTGTTGCAACTTTTCTATTGTCAACGTGAGGTCTTGGACTGTCGCCTCTTTCAGGGATAAAATTTGCTAGCGCGCTCATGTTGGTTTCATACCGCGAGTAGTCCTTATTTCGCTCATGAGGTGACCCAAGGGGACCAATCACAGACTCCTCATATTGGGGTTTTTGGCTCGCTTCTCGCGTTTCCATTGTCTTGACAAGCACAATATAGCGACGATCACACTGACAAAGCGCTTATAGAGTTCCTTTGCTTGGACAATGTGGTGGTCTCTTTGTGCCTGTCCAATAGCCCGTGGTCTTAAGTTAAGATGAGATCACAACTGGCTCGGAAAAACGATTCTCGGTTAGACATCAAACTTCTGCCCCACCAACTCTTCGCTCAGCACCCATAGATCCTTTGCATTTCCTTCATCTGTTGCGTATCCTAATGGCTCACTCAACTGACAGTCTTCAACGAAGTGTCCATTTTGGCTCTCGAAAGCAGGATCTAGTGCCGCAGCTAGGAGAGACGATGACCCTTGAGACATAGTCTTCGGCTTGTCCACACCCGGCCAGGGAACTCCGGTGTTCTTCAATGCAATGGCATCAATTTCTTCGAAGTCTTTGTTCTCCAGGTGAGTGGTCAGCCCGGTGTCCCAAATTCCACCTGGGTGGACGGAGTAGGCAAATATGCCACGTTCGCCCAGTCGTCTTGCGAGCTCGAAGCTGAAAAGAATATTTGCAGTCTTGGACTGGCCGTAGGCGGACCAGCCATCGTAGTCTTTACCATTTGAGAACGCCGGGTCGCTGAAGCGTACTGAGCTGATGCGATGGCCTCGTGATGTGACATTGACAATCCTTGAGCCTTTCCCTGCTGCCAGAATCTTCGGCATGATCAGATTAGTGAGGAGGAAGTGGCCCAAGTGATTGGCGGAGAAAGTCAACTCGTTGCCTTGCTTGTCGGTAGTGTATTCCTTGACATTCATGACGCCTGCGTTGTTGATCACGGCATCGATCTTGCTGATACCTTTGTCGGACAAGATCTGCTCTGCAGCTTTTCGCACCGAGTCAAAGTCGGTCAGTTCGTATTCCACGAACGTCACTCTGATGCTTGCATTGATTGCCTTGATTTCTTCAATCACGGGTTCCACCTTTGCTTTGGTCCGGGACACGAGGATGATTTGCTCTGGAGACTGTCGGGCAAGTTGTGTTGCGCAGGATGCACCAAGGCCTTTGGTGCTAGTGCCGGTTACCAGAAACGTTCGGCCCTTGATCCTGTTTGCAAATGTCGCGCAGACTTCTTCAGAAGTAGTAGAAAACCCGAAGGGTGACATCTTGATGGCTTGTTGTTAGGTATGTATAGAAGCTGAATACCAGGAGGTTTCGATATACGCCTCAATCTCGTTGTCAGAAACCCGGCTCGTTGAGCCGGTCTGCAAGACGGCGACCCTTCATTGAATTTATAGCTGTTCCTTTTACCGTCAAGACGCTTGGCGTAGAGCCTATGCTGCTCTGTGGCAAGCCGCGGCGGAGCTGACGTCCGTACACAAACGTTATCGGACTGCACTGGAATCTCCGAAACTTTGGCGGGCCTTAAGCCCGAATTCTTCGCGGCGCGGCGATCGACACACCAACTTCTAGGCACTCGGCGGCGGCTGGATCCTTGCGGGGGTCCCACAGCCAAGATGCCAAAGTCCGGATTCCGGGCAAAACGCCGAAGGAGACGGCAAGATCGTACGATTTTACGGAGGGGACGGTGAGTCATTCATGCAGGTTGCAGGCTTGCAGGTCGATCAGGAGATCATGATACACCCTTCTTATTACCCACCTACCAATAAGCCTTTGAAAATCGGTAGCATAGAAATGAAGAGTCCTCCTTATACCAGGGCTCGTGTCACCATGTTGCTTGATAAGGCCAGAAGTTGCACACAAGATTTTGACTCTCAATTGACAGTAAGCTAAATATTGTGTGCAAATGAACTCTTGGAAAACCATTGCGATATTAATTTGTGAGTCCAGCTCTGAGGAAAGATCTTCAATAATGTATGATGCCCCCTACATCTGTTTGATTCATTTCATCGTGCCCCTGCAATCTAGAAAGGGGGGAAATACCAACGAGGCACTATATGACCCATGTAATGATCACTACTAGCGACGCGAGTATCACAAACGACGATACCGTAGCATGGGCGCCAGCCCCCTTCATCCCCTCCTTGAACCCCTTTTGCGAGCCTCCCAGGTATAGTGCCCCAAGCTCTGTCAAGGCCCCGTGGTCGTTGAATAGAGCCACATTGTCTCCGGTCCATGCATTTGCTTCATCCCTCCTAAATGCACCGAACCAAGCGTAGGCTTCAACATCGTCTTGAGCATCTAAGAATGTGAGGCTCTGGTTCATCATGGTCAAGGTATCGTCCTCATCACCCTGCGGTAGCGCCATCTCTGTGATCCAATACCTGCTCACGCTCGTCCCATAGAAGTCGTGCAGGGTTTTGAGCCAGGATTCGAGGTCCGCTGCAAATCCGTACCAGTGCACCGCGACGAAGTCTGTGGGGCAACCGTTGTCCTTGTCGATATCATAGCACGACTCGTTGAAGCCCCGCAGCCATTCCAACCCTTGTGCGGAACCCGTTACAACAGGGTGACTGATGTTCCAAGTACGTGAACGTGACTTCACAGAGGATCGCAGTGGCACGATCTCAGAGATGTATGCGCGCGCAGCATCGTCCGGAGAGATGGCACTCCCGCCGGACGAAGTAGTCCCATCCGGCTCATTGAATGCCAACAGATGCGTTGAAGATACCGGAAGACTGTTGATTGTTTGCATAACATCTGAACTGGAGGCGTCATCAAGCCCGTGGATGAGGGGCACGAATACAAGAGAATCGCCGATGAGAGATGAGGGATTCGCCGACCAGGTATAGTACCACGCCAAAGACGAGTTTTCTGAGAGCAGAAGACTATTGTCAGACTCATGCGCATCGCTGCTAAATGCCAATCCACGCTTTGAGGAAAAGTCAGGCTGTGAAGCGACAACTGCAGAAAATATTGCTATTGACAGGGACAAAATGCACAGCGAAGTTGTCCACTTAGTTGTGCTAGTCGCCAGTGGATGCATTTGCATGATCATGATGGGAAACGCAAGATGAGACTAGAAGCAGGTCATAACATTCCATGCAAAGCCGTCCAGCAGCCCGGCGCTTGTCTGAATATCACATCTACCAGGTAAATGTGCAAGCAGGATGCGTATGAGGTTTAATAGCCAATTTTGCTTTGTTGATGACTCTCTAGGCACTTGCGAGGCTTAGATGCGGGTGACGTCACATCAAAGTCTTGGCCACACCAACATCTTGTTTCTACAACCATTTCGCCAAGGCAGGACTCGCATAGGCTTAGAGGAATACTCATTAAGCCTTCATCTCCTAGAGATTAAGATGAAGCTGTAGCTTGTTTAAGACTCTTTGGAGTGATGTGATTTATGTCAAGTTGTTATCATAGACAAGACAGTAAAGTGTAAGACACAAGTTTTGTAGGCACATGTCACCTAACGTTGCATCTTGGTATATGGATCTTCATTGATCTCTTTTATTAAGACAAACTCTCCCCAACATTGCTCTACTACACAATTGCCGTGACACAGCACAGCGGGAGTCATCGCACCACAAGAGATTACAGCTGTCAGGTTCTCTAAGCTTATGCGATATGCCATCCAGTAACGCAATCCAGTCACGGTCGCAAGGTTTTCTCACCCAAGCAGAGCTATATCGCTCCAATTGAATTATATTTCCTGCTCTCTTCCATTCATAGGTGGCAATACAGTCTCGATATCTCGTTCGATGTCGAGCAACCATGGGAAAGGGAAGCGGAAATTTCTTGATGAAGTTTTGAGTTGCGAGCCACATGACTGCCATATAGCCACCATGACTTTGCGGAAGGCACAAGCAGCAGGTTCTCTCTCGATCTAAACATTCAGAGGAAGAAGGCATGACAGGAATGTCCTGTCTCAAACAAGCACAGAAGTTGGGGTCAAAAGCTCGCAACATCCCGATGTTTCCGAGCGACTGGTGAGGGCATGTGCTGACAGTCAGCTCTCCCGTTTTGATTTGGCTTAGGATATGGCGGGCCGCAGCTGGCTCCTCGGGTTTCGTCCGGCAGCCTATATAGGGCACTGCGAGCATTATATTCGTAAACGATGGCCCAGTCGTCTTTGCCTATGTCTTTAGGTCTCTCTGCTGGGAGAGATTCTAGAAATTAAGTCATGGAGCGGATCGTCGTCGTCGTTGGTAGAAGTTGGTTTGCGCTTGAATAATTGTAAAATATTGTTGATCAATTTGTTTGCTCTGCTTTGTTTTGCACGCGCCTCGCGTATACCTGCGGGGACGTCGTGAGCCATTGTGTATGTGGCAGAGTAAATCTGTGATGGTACCAATATAATACTTGCGTAAGGCCCATCTCTACAATGCTGTCTCGGAGAAAGAAATACGTTGCACTTTTCGCATTTTAAAGTTTTCCTTCGAGACCCGTGGATCACTCGCTTTGGTGGAGGCTTAGCCTTTGCACAAGTCGTGTTGATATAGATACTGTGTGTAAAACATATAGTGTCTGTTTATGTGACAGCTGACTAGTAGCTGTTGATCTACCAGCCTGACCTCGCTCCCATTCCACATCATGGACGTCTGATTGGAAATGGCGTGGTTTGTTCTTTGAGAGGTGCTTAATCAAGATTGGTCTAGGATCTCTATGGTAAAGCAGCATTCATGTTCTTATCTTGGTTGATCAATTTAGCAGGGGATGATTTGCTGGTGATAAATCTCAAGCAAGGGTCTAGAGAATGGGGAGGGGAAGTGGGGAGACTCGGTTTTTGTGCTTGAATGCCTCAATTACCCGTTAACATTTCAAAATCGACAAGTTCATCCCTCCCTTAGGGATTTCTGAGCGCATGCATTGTTGTTAGAGAACGCCACCATGTCAGAAAAACGTATCTCGGCCTTGATTCCTCGGAAGCAGAAGGTGCTTCTGGCCTGCATTATCATGACATCTGTCATAGACTCAGTGGTGAGCTGCTTCATACCATGCCAACAAATCTGTTTCTAAATTGAGATGATTGTCAGCTGGTCGGCTACGACAGTTCTCTCATGGGTAGTCTGAACGTAATGCCATCGTACAGTGATTACTTCACTTTGACAACAGCCACAAAGTCGCTGAACACCGCTATTTCTTATATGGGAGGCGCTACCTGTGCTCTGTTTGCCGGCTTAGCCGTCGATTGGCGTGGCCGTAAGGAGTGCATTTTCTACTCGGCAGTTATCACAATGATCGGCGGCATCATTCAAGGAGCCGCGCAAAACATTGGCATGTTCATTGCTGGCCGGTTTATCGTTGGACTCGGACTGGGTCTTGCACAAGTTGCTACCCCGACCCTCGTGGCTGAGACCGCTCCCGTGGAGTACAGAGGCTTTGCTTTAGGTCTATACTATGCTTGCTGGGGAGTGGGCACTCTGGTCGCTTCTGGTGTCTGTTACGGCGTGAGTGGCATTATTTCCCTTCTTCAAGATCAAAAGGGTAACACTCAAACAGACCGAGAGCATGTCTACTACATGGGCATGGCGCATTCCTAGTCTTCTTCAGGCTGTACCGAGTGTCTGTTGCATGGTCATATTGCTCTTCATTCCAGAATCACCTCGTTGGCTCATCAGCCGCGACAGACATGAGGAAGCACTTGAAGTATTGGCAATTGCGAATGCTGCCGGTCAGTCTGATGACCCAGTAGTACTGCTCCAGTATAGAGAAATTAGCGACACCTTGAGTTGGGAAAAGGCCCGGGAATTGTCTGTGTTTCAAGCCCTCGCACAACCATCCAACAGACTTCGTCTTCTCATTACGTCGACGTTCTCAATTATAGTCATGCTGCCGGGAACGAACATTATCCAGTTTTATTTCGGAGACATGTTGTCTAATGCAGGTATGTAAATCCATAAAGACATTAAGTATGCAGTGGCTCACACAACAGTCAGGAGTCAGTGATCCAACAACACAATTGCAAATCAACATCATTCTGGTTTCCTGGACTTTTGTCGTTGCTGTTGCAGCATCACTATTTGCTGACAAAATCGGTCGGAAACCTCTCTGCGTGCTTAGTCTCGCTGGCCAAATTGTAACGCTTTATTTGCTCGGAGGTCTTACGGCTCTGTACGGCGAGTCTAACAATAAGTCTGGTGTGTATGGAACCATCGCCATGATATTTCTCTACAACGCCGCGTATGCCTGGGGTATAACGCCACTCACAGTGTTATATCCACCAGAAATATTGTCATTTGATATCCGCGCCGCAGGTATGGGTATTTACACATTCACCACGAAGCTTTGTGGATTGTTTGTAACATTCGTGGTGCCTTTCGGGCTTGATGCAATCGGTTGGAAGGTCTACATCATCAATGCTAGCGTGAACATCCTAATGGCTGCGTTTGTGGTGTTCTACTGGGTGGAGACTCGAGGCCTTACTCTGGAGGAAGTCGACCGTATCTTTGATGGGGTCAAACACTCGGACGTCCCTGATCTGGAGGCAGTGAAAGATGGGGCTGCCAAGCTTGATGATGATATTCTTCTAGGTGAGACTGTCTCGCCGCGGCAATCCGCCGTGAAAGGTGGAGAGGTCTCTTCAAAGGTGGGGAAGACATTGGCATGATAAGCAAGATTGCTAGCAAACCTTGAAACCACGGAAGGGCACAGAGAAGATAAGAGCGGGGACCGGCGAACTGTCCCGATACTCGACTCTTGGCAATGGTCCTCGTCGGGGTGGCGTATATTTTCAAATAACCAGTTGGATCCAAGAACCTCTCTTCAGTCGTTTTCTTTGAGTCTGGTCACCTGGCAACCTTTGTTTTGCTGGTCAACTTTTGATATTCATTTAACATAGTACTTTTGAAGGATTAATTGAATCTTTCAGGCATTGAAAGTCTAAGCTCTAACACCCCGCAGCAAGATGGCCGAAGTTGCCGACATAGCAGTTGTGTCCTTCGAGAAGTTTATTCTCGGTAATGAAGCCGACAAGCACGATGTTTCTAAGGAGCTGTATAAGGCCTTCTCAACTGTTGGCTGGGTCTATCTCAAAGACTTTGGTATTCCTCAGAGCCGAGTCGATGAGATTTTCGCACTAGTTAGTCCTTCAAACTCCTGCCATTTGTTTAGAATTGCTGTAGACATTTCATATATGTGAGACTAAAACCTTCGTGCTTTCCCAGGCAAAAAGATTCTTCGAGCTCCCCCTATCCACCAAGCTGCGTTGGAAGTTGACAGACCCTGAAGTGAACCAAGGATACACGGCTGACGGCGCGGAAGCCAATGGCGGTATCGATCACAAGGAGTGTTATGAACATCGCCGTTTCGCCAATGCATCCTGCCCTGGTGAAAACGACATTTCAAACTTCAAGTCGACTATGGATGAGTTCTATTCTCAATGTCTGACTCTCGGACTAAATGTTTTGAAGTGTCTCGCAATGGCTTTGGATTTGGGTGACAATTTCTTCGATGATATTACGACACATGCCGACCCACAACTTCGGCTCATTCATTATCCATCCATTGAACGCCAAATAGTTGAGCAACAAGGCCATGCGCGCATTATCCCACACACTGACTTCGGCCTCTGTACACTACTCTTCCAGGACTCGGTTGGAGGACTAGAAGTTGATCCATTTCACACCGGCGAGTTTAAAGCAGCTTTACCTATACCTGGCACGGTACTCATCAACATTGCGGATCTCATGCAAAGACTTACGAACGATCGATGCCGAAGCACTCTTCATCGCGTCGTGTCGCCCAAATCTTCAGGCGATATTTTGCCTGCGAGATATTCCATTCCATTTTTCATTCACCCTGATCCGGAGGCAATGATTACGCCATTGATAAAAGAGCAAGGGGAGGTTCGGAAGTATGAAACGGTAAATGCTGGTGCTTGGAGAACCATGAATACAGCAAGCAACTACAAGCTGCCGTCAAATGTAAATGTAACTGCCTAGTAAACAGTTGTGCGTCGTATGGATCGTGTACCAGAATTCGCCCACTCTCAGCATCATCACATTGGCTATCAACCACATGTAAGCATTCCGTTGATTGGCACTGAGGCCACTATTGGTGTAGGCCGACGTCCTGAAGATTTTGCAAATGTAATGGATCGAGGACGTTACGGCGTTATGAAAGTCTACATGATATGCATAGTCATGGAGTCTACGCCATCATGCAGAGCATTGACATGACTCCAGTCGAGGCTGTCCTCTGCCAAGCTCCATGCCATCACTCCCCCCAGACCCCATGGAATCACGATTTCGTCGAACTTTCGGGCAATCAGCTCGGGTGTATCCCAAGTCCAGAAAATACTTTCTGAGCTGTCCCAGTACCACTCTCCGCCTGCGTCAGCATCAAGCTTCTGGTTCTTGAGTGCCGTTTGGAACATCAGACTAGTTGAAGGTCCTTCGCAAACTCCGTAGTCGGACTGACACCCGGTTCCACAATACGGTGTGGTGCTACCACTGTGAAGATAGCATGAGCATGTCACTTTTCGATTCTTTTGTACTTGTGCGAGAGAAAACTTACCAGCTGCCATACTGACTGCAGCAAAGACTGTCAGGGCACCTGTAGAATGTGCCAGCGCCACAGCTCATGTCTGGGGAATCAGTCAGGTTGGTCGGTGCAGGGGCAAAGTTGATAGCCTCAAATGTCAGAGCGCCGGATTTGCCGGTATCCGAACCATCCGCAGCCTCCAAAAGTGCGGTTGGGCACCCAACAGGCTCAGTGCAGACGGCACCCTCAGCCGTTGTGAACCACTTGGCATAGAAGGCGAAACCAAGGTTCATCTTGCCGGGAGCCATGCCCCGGGCAGCATAGGTCTCGATGGTGTGGAGCGACTGATTGACAGAGGTGTGGTGGTTTGTGACGTTGTCACGGCGTGACATGAAGTCGTATGTCATAACATTGACAAAGTCCACCACGGCGTTGATCTTCGGGACTTGCTCGGGGGTAAATGCCATCATGTCCTTTTCGAGACCAGGTACGGCGATTGAAAGCTCCTTGTCACCAATTGCGGCTTTGATGTGGCCAAGAAGCTCTGCATAGGTGTGAATCTCCGAGACCTTTTCCGAATTTGGATGCTGGATGTAGTCCGCTCCGTTACCACCCGGATATTCCCAATCAATGTCTACGGTCGTTAGCCAGACTGTCCTCCCTTCTCTCATCTGATCAGGTTACCCACCGACGCAATCATAACCCAGTCTATCGAGAGTTGCAGCGATACTCTTGGCATACAGCGTCTGTGTCGTGCAATTCTTTGCGCCTTTGCTGAAGCCGTCTGTGTCTCCCCATCCGCCGATGGCCATGCAGACCTTGGTGCCCTCGTCGAACATAGCTCGGACTTCGTCCAGGGGCATGAATGGCTCGTACTCGCCATCGGGCTCCGTTGTAAAAAGGGAGGAGTTGGCGAATGCGGTTATGACATAGTTGATGCCAGCTGTGACTGTTCTGTTCGGAAGCCCGGATGTGTGATATCTGGCATGGGAGATATCTTAGCATACTGGTGTCACATACTTTGATGCGGATTAAGGCTGTCCTCACTGATCAAAATACATGACATAACGTGGAGATGCAGCGACAGCCACGGAAGCCATCGCGGCCACGATGAACGGTTTCATGCTGTAAAGTAGAAGTCCTAAAGGAGTGTAAGAATGGAATATATTAAAAGAGTGACAATGAAGATGCAACTGAAGCTAAGCAGCCAATTGTCAAACTTGACCACGTCAAATATGAGATATAAGAAGTTTTATCAACCCAGCTATTCCTGACTGACGTAGATCTAGGGGGGAAAGGCCCTGGAAGCTGATCGTCGCATCGCGGAGAGCAACACCGTTGAGCTTTTAAAGGGGATTAGAGTTCATGCCCTTGTGGCTCAGCCCGTTAGCGCTCCCATGAATCTGGTGCCCCAGCGCAGATCCAAATCTCCAAAACCAAATGCCGCTGCGATTGGGCAAAGCCACACCTTAATTTGATGGGACCCCAGGAAACGGAATCGCGGTAATTTGGTCCTCCCAGAGAAGGAATGGGCCTAGCGTTGAGGGCACCTCAACGGCCTGGTAGTGATGGGGGTGGTCCATGCTGGTGGCTTGGCCTTTCTGTCAGGGGCAAGTTTAGTAGTCAGCGACAGCCAATAGCAGTGAAGTCAGGTTGATACCGTATCTCCCTTCGCTCAGCTTGCCTCACTATCAATATTCGCAGCGAGATGCGACATATTTTCTCGTGAAAATTATCATTTCGCAATGAGATCTACATTTGGCAAGGCAAGTGTACTGTCGGCGAGCTGCCGAGATAAATACCAGGATACGGGGGCTTGGCACCGTTAATACGAAAGCGCCATAAGCTGACTTGGCTCTAGCAGTTCAAAGGGGTAGAAACTTGGGGGCAGGGCTCGTCAGCAAATCAGCAGATCCTCAAAATTTAGACATGAGAGGAAACTTTCTCTACCTTTTTATCTTCTGAGACGAGTATCTTTCGCAGTAGAATATTGGGGTTAAAAGCCACTCATTGGTCACGATCAATGCGCCATGAGGCACGAACCCACACAAGACAGAAACGCTCATTGAATCCGCATTACTTGGTTGATATATGAGACTCAGGTGAACGCAATAGTTGAGAAGCGATGGCGCGAGACTAGAGAGTTTCGGATGACACTATACAACGTATGGTAAAAGGTCCACGCCGAGACTCTGTCGTTGACTAGTTGACTGTCCCCGAAGGTAAGAATGACAAAAAGAAGATATTTTAGCAACTGTACGTTTCGATCGTACGGTCTCCAGGTTATGAGCCTGGCGGGTTCCCGCTACCCCAAGTTGCTCTTAAAGAACAGCCTTTTGTCTCTTTTCTTATGATTTGTCCCAGAGGATGCTGCTCAAAGGATGAGTCACTCTCGATGGATGACATATCTGCCTCTTTTGTGGAGCGCCATGGTCACAGTACGACTGCTGCCTCAGGTGAGAACAAGGGGTGTCATTGGAATAGAAACCAAGGATACAGGAAGCACCAACAAGATGAAGAGGGTTCAAATGGAAGTTGACCAAGAGCTCAAGCACTGTGAATTTCAGAATAAAAAAGTTGCCTAGTACCAAGAAGCGAACAGTTAAAGAAGCTAGTACCTAATCCGCGAATTTTTATTGATCAATTAGCCTGGCGACTTACTCTTTTTTTTTTTCATGTGAATGCTATATATATCAATTATCTAGCAGAGCTAGACGTTGAGCCAATGTCGGCACGAGCCTCGGCAGCCGGCTTGTTCGGAGACTAACACTGTCATAATCAGGTCCGCGAAGTCTGGAAACCTGGTAACGGTAGGTCCGGCCCAGAAACATCCCACAGAGCCTCGGTAACGGAAACAATCCGAAAGAAGTCCAATGCAGAAGTCTTAACTAGGATTCGTTTTAGACAATATGAAGGTCTAAGCAGGGGGGAAGGGGAAGGTGAAAGGTGGGAAGAGGAGGTTGGGCTCGGCCCCGCAGTCTCGGCGATGACGTCGTGAAAATGCGCCGGACCAAGGCGTCCGCAACGCTGAGGCTGCTCCTCCACGGCCTCTCTCACCAACCTCAGTACACATTGCATGAGCCGGACCCCGCGCTAACTGCGCTCGCGGCCTACCTTCAGGTATAGCAGTCGGAACACCAGCCTCCTCGCACGCTAACTGGCTCAGCAGGATTCTCATCAACAACGCTCAATCAATACCATGATCACCGCCGAGACCCAGGAGGGTGACAGAGGCTCGAAAGCGGCTGCATTAGCTGCATATGGCCCCGGCAAACATGCGCAAGAGGAGCTATGATGACGGACGTCATCATCGATCATTCGCATGCACGTCGCAGATCATTCCCTGCGTCTCGCTCTCAGTTCGCTAATGTACGCCCTGATGCCGGAATGACGTTCAGATAAATTCTCGTTTCCCCTCGCCTCCGCGGCTGTGCCTGAGTTCCTGAGACAAGAGGCTCTTCTCTCCCGTCCTCCACCTGACATTCGCAGGTAGTTTTGTTTTGGAAGGTGTACTTCTTGACATATTTAAAGCTGGCTTTCTTTCGTGAGCAGCCGGTGTCGCATATCGCTCGCTAGCACACAGGACCATACACCAGGAGCAGGCCATTATGGCTCCTTTCCCCTCATCAGACCTCGCCAGGAGGGTAATCGAGACAATCCAGGAGCGAGCGCCCGATGCCCTGGAGGCGACAAAGTCCATCCCGCTCGGTGTCTCGCGCGTCGTCGCCCGCCAAGCGACCGTCACCGTCACTGCGGTCCCGGCCGGCAGCGACAACAGCGACTCGGGCAACAGGCTCAGCGGCGGCGCCATCGCCGGGATCGTCATCGGGTCCATCGCCGGGTTCCTGCTGCTGTGGTGGATCATCCGCTCGTGCTCCAACCTCGGCCGGCCACCCCAGGAGACTCGTGAGCCTGCGTGGTATAACGATGATGTAGACCCCCGGAGATCGCGCTCGCGGAGACGGTCGCACAGTCACCACTCACATAATTATCCACGCCAATCGAGAGAGATTCGCCAGGTCACGCCGGTCGTTGTGGACGACCGCGTGCGCCGGCCGAGCAAGACGTATGTCTATGAGAGCGGGGGTGGAAGGAGGAGCTCTAGGAGAAGCAGCCGTGATTATTACTAAGAGATCACGGTTGTCTATTACTGAGTGGAAGGCATTAGTATCACAAGGCTTATTGGATGTGAGGCGGTGCAAGTGGTTGGGATAAACGACCATATGCACGGAGGAAGGAGGTGGGTATCAATTGAAACAGGCGGCGAAAATCGCTACGGACCGAAGATCAGTTGAAGCGACTTACCGGTGCCGATTCGAATTGTATACTTTATTATGGGCATTCTACCAAAGGGGTCATCAATGGCGTTGCGGTTGACGTTGTGATTGTCACGATTGCGAATGATGTCTGGACGAGTGTCAATTAAGCATTTTCATACGAATGGGATACCATGTTTCGATAGTATAACGATTACACTAAATCGATGAACTCTTTCCACCTCCTCATTGCGCTTCATTGTGACACAGTCTGAGAATCGATGAACAACAGTCATGTTGTATAACTCAGGTTGGCAACGTAGGTAAGCATGTGGGTTGAAAGATAATAAACGTTGACTGGGTGCTGGGACCATGTGCTAGGGCCATGAACTGCTGTTCATCCAGGAGTCGGGTGTTTGGACAAACGGAACGTTTTCCCAGGAACCCACCCGCTGCCCTTCAAGTTATTCTTTCATTGAAGGACTGCCGTTAATTTTGCAGTTCAAGAAACCCCCGCAACAATCGACCGTAAGACGGACCTCCAATTAACTGCCCAGGTAGGCAGGTACCCTATGTTCGCTTTCGCGTTCGGGGTTGTTTTGATATCTCTTTCCTCATCAACACTCAACGCGCTTTCCTGAGAACCAACCACAGCTGTCTCGACACCTCCCGTCCTTCCACCTTCTCCGTTCCACCTTTTCCTCTACCTCTTCCATAACCTCACCGTCAACACCGTCATCATCTTGAAGAGATTCGATTATTGTCATCCGCTGCAGAATAACCGCTTCGGACGGCACGATGGTGCGCCGGCGCAACATTAGCAGGGACTTTGTCCTCTGGGAGGTGAACCATGTATTCTTGCCGCCCAAGCTCCCGCAAAAAGACGACTCCGATACAGACTTCGATCGCACTCTGGCGTACGATGTTCTCATGGCCCTTCAGGAGTTCAAGAGATATGTACCAGACAATGCCAATCTCGCTAACGCGATTCGTATGATCGAGAATATGATCAGTGTCCGTCAAACAAGTTCTGGGGAGCTGATCAAGCACAACGTTCAGCGATCTTTTGAGAAGCTTGCCGATCTCGGTATGGATTCATCATTTGCTGTTCGACCTTGTCGAAAAGCTTGCAACGGTTCACATTGCTAACAGTCACAGACTCGCTTGCATTCCATCTCAGGGCCCAGAACGCCGGTTTCATAGTCACGCGGACTAAGGATTGTGTGCTTTTCAAAGGCTTTGAGCTCCTCGCGTCGGATAAAGAAGTAATGGCTTGTGATGGTCGCTTGCGTCGAGCATTCCCTGGTTATTGTGTTTCTGTCCCCGCCAATATCGTCACGAACCCAGATTTCATCCAGCCGCTGGTCAACACCCTTTCCGTACTCGACATTGAGGTTGATCCCCAGAGTCGTCCGCAGACCAGAAAAGCAGGAACTGATGTCGCCGAAGAGAGAGACACGGTTCATCCGCGCCTTGCCACCGACATGCTGCCCGGTATTCTTCGTGGTATAGGAGAGGATGCAATGACTGAACGATTCGAGAAACACAGTCGAGAAGACGTGCTTTGGCACAATGCAAAGCTTTCTTGGCATCGCTCTGCTCAATGGCAGATGCTTCGTGTAGCCCTACAAATTGTTCTCAATAGCGGGAATTGTCTGGATGCACACGACTCGCTCTACAAGCAGTTCATGGTCTTCTTTCATGCGCACGTGTTACAAGCTGCCATCGAAAATAGTCTACCGAGCGATTTACTCTGGATCATGAGCGCAAAGCTCTCTCGTCGTCTTGTGAAACTTGCGCCATCAAATGA